AGGACCCACTTTCATCAGTAAATGGCAAGCGACTGCACTGGTGACCAGGACAGGAGTTAATAGAGCCTCCCCAGTGATTTAGTATTATAGCCCAGTGAGGATGAGTGTCAGTGTAATAGATGAAAAAGCCCCCTTGATTTAGTCATGTCCTTCAAACTGCTGCTCGTGGAGTCATTTTAGATCTGAACAGGCATTTTAAAAATGGAATATGATAAAATGCAAGAGAAAATATCAGGAGGCATCGTACAGATCCTTAGCAAAAATAGTACAGTTTAAGAAATGCCACAACTGGTTGCCATTGGTGGTAAGGAGGAGAAGGCAGGAAGGGACTCAATGAATCTACACATTGGCTGGGGTGGAGTTGTTTTTATCTACTGCTTACTGCTATTCTGATATTTGTAACGTAAGAACTGACAGTATACAGTTTATTTTATATTGACGTAATTTGCGATTGGTTGTAAAATGAGGTTACTCTTTCAGCAAGAGCTTTAAGACTTTCAATGAGTTTTGTTTGTAAACATTTGGTAGTTCAGTTGATAGTTATGATTTATAATATGTTGTTGGACTAGTTTCTTATTGTTACCACAACACAAAACTATAAATTTTGAGGCTTTTTAAAAAATATATTTTATTTATTTATTCATGAGAGATACAGAGAGGCAGAGACATATAGGGAGAGGGAGAAGCAGGCTCCCCCCAGGAAGCCTGAGGTGAGACTCTACCCCAGGACTCCAGGATCAGGACCCGAGCCAAAGGCAGACGCTCAACCACTGAGACACCAAGGTGCCCAAATTTAGAGACTTTAAAGACTTTGATAAATTTATTATTTTACAGTTCTGTCGGTGAGAAGTCTAACATGGGTTTCATTAGGCTAAAATCAAGGTGTCAGCATGGCTGCATTCCTTTCTGGAAGGCTCTCCTTGTCTTTTTTAGATTCTAGAGGCTGCCCACATTCCCTTCTTCCTCTGTCTTCAAAGTCAGCAACATAAAATTTATTTGGCTTTTCTGCAACAGTCACATCTCCTCTGACTGAAGTCTGGAAAAGGTCTCCTCTTTTTATGACTCGTAGGATTTCATTGGGCCTACCTAGGAATTCCAAGATCACTTCCCCATCTCAATGTCCTTAACCTCAATCACATCTACAGAATACAATTTGCCTTGGAAGTTAGCATGTTCTGGGCATTAGGATGCAGACATCTTTGGTGGGGAGTCTACCATAATTGTGTATATTGACTCTTGCTTCCAAAATATTTTTCTTGTAAAATAAATTTGTGTAAGAAAGTCAATTGATATAAGGAAAAAAATCATCGAAAAAAAGTATTTGGATATGGCAAAAATAATGAAAATAGCATTCACATGACTTAAAGAATATTGGGAAATACACAGGTCCTGACAGCCCAGAGTACAAGCCAGAGAAACAGTGGTCCCACCCATATTCCAGATCATTCTGCCACAACCAGCTGGCTCAGTCCAATGTTCTTAGCATGTGGGTTCACTTTCCTCATCCTGAAGACAGGAATTGTACCAGACAGACGGTCTCCAAAGGTCCTACATAAATGGTTATATTATGAATTCAAATGTCAGGGTTAAGCATATTGTGAAATAACCAAAATACCATATAATATATCAAACGATTATGGATTCTTTGAGGACGTTTGCTGAATTTAGTCAAATAGGGGGTATTGGACAGGTAGAAGATGGATGGTGGGTGGAAGAAGTCTCCCAAATTAGGTCAACATTTGAAAGGATTGGTGATTTTCCAAGTGCACACTTCTATTAAAAATGTTTAACTTAAGGGGAGAGATGTCTGTAGTACTTTGAGATAATAAGTTGTTTCAATTCTAGTAATTCTTAATGACTTTCTGTTCTTTTAATTAAAACTACATATTAAAGAAGTATTTTATTCCTTTCTGTGCTAAGAAAAATTTTAAGCTCAATAATACATTCCCCAAAATAAAATCAATTTTGTCCTGAAATACAGTTTTAAAAACTGTGATAGTCTATGTTCTTTGATTATCTCATAAATAGCAGTTTCATATCAGCTCACCTTTCTCCTTCCCCCCTCCCCCCCTTTCACTTTGTGCCAATCACAGGTGGATGCTCAATATCACCCCACAGCACAAGATAAATAAGCTTGGAAGGTTTCCTAGCAACATATTGTTCTGGGAACCTGCTCTGTTTCCCTGAACAAGATGAAGCCAAACATCCTAGAATCTCAGCCAGATGGGAAAGGATTAGCTTATTGAGGGTGTTTAATGCATTCTTTTAAAATTTCACATTAAAATGAACCTCTTAACATAAGTAGCAAGATTGACTTTTAAAAGGACACTTTTTACATGAAAAAAAATTCTATAATACTTTGAATTTTAAAAATATGATTTTAGAAGATATTCTCTAGAAGCAAGCCTACAATGTGTAATCCAGCCATTGGTAGGTGAATAGATCCATTTTAGAAACCATGTAGAAAATACTTCCACATGGGACTGATGTTCAGACTGGTCCCCACTAGTTCCCGTGTTCAGGTGCAGAAATACGGACGTACTTCCCATCTTGTGGGTAAATGGCTGCAGGAGGAGCCCCCCCCCCATCCCACTCTCCCTTGATCCTGCTCCTAGGATGCCTTAGAAACACCTGTCCCTGCTGAAAACTGAGACTTCTTCCCCTTTTCCTCAGCTCCAGGGCTACTTCTGTGCCAAGGACTTGCTACTTCATCTTAAGAGTCTTTTGGTTTTTGGAGTATAGTAATACATACAGAAAAAAAAGCAGCTAGAGGAAATTGAGGCCCCCTATTAAAGCTCAGAGGAGGGGGCACCAGGGTGGCTCAGTCGGTTAAGCGTCTGCCTTCAGCTCAGGTTATGATCCCAGGTCTGGGGCTTGAGCCCTTGAGCCCCCTGCTCAGCGGGGAGCCTTCTTCTCCCTCTCCCTCTGTTGCTCCCCCTGCTTATGCTCTGTCTCTCACAAATAAATAAATAAAATATTTTTTAAGAATTAAAAAAAAATAAAGTCTAGAAGAAATAATGTTGTTGCTGCTGTTTTGTTGGTACATGATCAGGTATATTTTCCTGGTTTATCTGATCATCTTGAGGCCAAAAGTCAGGAGTTGGTGCTTCCCTGCTGTTTGCATTCTGGCTCAGCACGGTGTACTCTCGAAGGTCTCTGGAGATGAAGTAAGAAAAAATGAGTTTCTCATGACAGTATTCAGCAGTGGTTTTGCAATTCAGTTCCACCCTGAAAAATGTCCTTAACTTCTTGTTTCACTGGGGAAACTCCCCCCATCAGCCAGGAGGATATTGTCACTCTGTGGTTGTTGAATGATTTTTACTGTCTCAAGTTTGGACTGAGTTTGTGAAACCTCCCAGTTGTGGTGAGAAACAGGTAATTCCAGTACTTGGGAGTGCTCCTGGATGTAAGAGCAGAGGGATTAGAATACAGAGGGGCAAGACCCATGGCATCTTTGCTTTTTATTTAACAAGCTCTCTGGCCAGATTCTAACATATATTGCATGTTTTCTAAATACCGTATCTTGAACTCGACAAGAAACCATCTGCTGTGAGCCTCCTGTGGGCCAACGACTTATCGTGACGACAGTTACTAAGGAGCATCATCAACACATCATCTTCGCCTTCCAGTCCCTGAGAATCCAGCAAAATAACACATCTGTTGTCTTTTTTAAAATTAGATAATTTTTTCCCTTGTTTCAAGTCACTTATTCTAGCACCTGAACATTAAAGATTTTGATGTTGAAAGGAATTATATAATTTTGATTGGCCAAGGAAGGCCTAAAAGTAGGCTTAATCTGTTATATGGAACATAGATGAAAGCATATTAATTTTATTGAATACCTTAAAAAAATTTCCAGGAACCAGGTAATATTTTAGATACTTGGCCTGCATTACAGCGTTTAATTTTCCTGACAGCCGTTACGAAGCAGAAATTTGTTTGCCTGCTGCTATATAGATGACAAAACTCAGGCTAAGAGAAGTTAAATACTGATTGCTAAGAGGTTTCATAATTAATAATAAAAGAAAAAATAGGCATTCAGACCCTGGTCTATCTAGGGCCAAATAAAATGACCTGTATTCTGTGTTATGCTTATGTGATTATTTTTAGTATTATAAGTCCTAGTCTTTTTTCAGAAAACAGTAGACTACTGTCTTTGAAAGATGACACAATTTAGTAAGAAATAGATGAGTTGTTTAGATGATTTTCTATTATCTCATACAGCACAACGATTCTGTTATTTATTGGGAGTTTTCAGTGACAGACCTTATTCTCCCTGATGCAATATATTAACTATTTAGAAATATTTCATGTTACTCACTTTTTTTATTTTTATAAAATAATTTTCCTTTTCAACATGGTAGAGGCTACAAATGAATTTTACCAAAAAGTGGTTAGAATTAACCACTGGCAAATACATTTACAAGGAACAGTTATGACATAACAATGTTGCAGAACAGAAATGGACATTTGCAAATAAAGTTTAGTTTATTTACAACACAGCCACTCTCGCTTGCTTATGTATTACTTACAGCAGTGTTTCTGCAATGACAACAGAGTGGAGTGGTTGTGACCTAGACCATGTGGCCCAGCCTAAAATGTACTATCGAGGCCTTGACAGAAAATGTTTCCAGACCTATGCTCTTGGATCTATACTGCCCCCCCTCCGCCCCTACTTTGAGTTGGGTGTGTGCCATTAGAATACCAGAGACTTAAATTAGGAAACATACCAGGAAATGTTTTCCTGGGGTGCCTGGGTGGCTCAGTGGTTTAGCACTTGCCTTCAGCCCAGGGTGTGATCCTGGCATCCCAGAATCAAGTCCCACATCGGGCTTCTTGCAAGGAGCTTCCTTCTCCCTCTGCCGGTGTCTCTGCCTCTGTGTGTGTGTGTCTCTCATGAATAAATAAATGAAATCTTTTTTTTTCTTTTTTTTTTTTTAAAGGAAATGTTTTCCTACATCATGTCCTTATCTAACATGCTTTTCTTCTAATCCCTGTAGGTACCAACCAAGAAACTGAAGAAATATGAGAAAGAATACCAGACAATGCGAGAGAGTCAGCTGCAGCAGGAAGACCCAATGGATAGATACAAGGTATGAGAGGCCTGGGTCACCCATGAGAGCAGAGTGCCTTCTTCCCTAAAGTAGGAGTAGTGGCAAGTTCCCCTCCCTCTGTTCCTTCTTGATTTAGATGCACTCTGGCCATGATAAATGTCCAGGTATGTTTTCATTTCAGGAAACTCTTGAGTAGCCAACCATAATATTTCTTTTCTTTCAGTTTGTATATTTGTAGGTAACTCCACCTGTTGCATTTATACTTGGAATCTTCATAAGAAGCTGAGAGAAAGAGAGGGAAAAAGAAAGAGAGAAAGTGGCTATCGACTACTTTCAAAAATGAGAAAACAAGTGGCACAGTACTGTGTTAGCTGTGCATGGTCACATCCACAAAGACTTTTAGAAGGTGAATTGTTCCCAGCTTGGCACAAGAATGTTTCAGACTTTCCTCTGTCTGTAGCAACTGTCAAAAATACAAACTCATTTGGAAGGAAAAATAAAACCCACAAAGGTTAATGGAGCACAGTAATGGTGTTTGTCGCAACATTTATTTCCACAAATCTGAGTAACAGTGACATCTCATTATAGTACAGTCCCAGAATCAAGGCTGATTTCAGTTGAATATCTTAGTTAGTTGTAGTATTTTTTAAAAATTGGGCCCCTCTCATCGATAGAGCTCTTCAATGGTAATTAGCAACACTATTCCCATGAAGCAATGTTGGGGAAACACTGATTTCAAACTTACTGTTTTCCAGCTGACATATTGTCTCTCTTGAACATGTTTTAATTCCTCAGATTCCTACAGATGGTTCCCTCCCTTTTCATGTCAGTAACACTGGGATAACAGAGTATTGTAATTTTCACACTGAGCACCACCAATGCCAAAATATGCTGCCAAAAAAAAGTACTGGGGCGCAATTATTAATTTAATCACCCACAGTGGGCAGACTTCCACTTTTGTAACTGTAGTTGCCTTTATGTGGTCAGAGAAATCAACAAGGGCCGCTGTAGCCACAGTACCTCTTGTCTCTGTTGTGGGCTGAGTGACATGGGAGGCTCCCAGAGGGGCATGGCAGGAGTACATGGATTTTGTAGTCAGAACCGAGTTCAAATACTGGCTTTCCAAGAAAAAAAAACACAGGATTTGTTATCCACATTGAGGGGTTTTAATACCTATCCCATTGTTCAGCATCTTGGCTAGTTATTGAACCTCTTCCTCATCTGTGAAACACGTAGTAGCATACACATTTCCTTGAAGGACTTTTGCAAAGATGAGGGATGTTGTGTGGTAGTACCTAGCACATAGTTGGTGTTCAGTAATTGGTTGTTATTAGCCTTATTAGACCTACTGCCTCCAAGTACCTCGATATTACTAAAGTAATATCCCCTCACATGAATCTGTACTCCCAGTCCCTCGCTTATCTTCTCCATATATCTCCCAAGCATTGTTGCCCGATAATCCGACATCAGTATGTTTCTCCCTGTGTTCATAGAACTGGCTAAAGGACTGTCAGTAAGATCCCACATACTGCTGTGGTAGGTAACCATTAACCCATAAACTACTCACAGAATAAGGTTTGAAGCTGATTTCCACCACCACCACCCCTCAATAAAATTAATTTTAATATAGCTTACATAGCATGCTGCTTTAGAAAGGCCTGAAGCAGTCATTATAAATTTTTAAAAAAAATTTTTTTTTAATTTATTTATGATAGTCACAGAGAGAGAGAGAGGCAGAGACACAGGCAGAGGGAGAAGCAGGCTCCATGCACCGGGAGCCCGACATGGGATTCAATCCCGGGTCTCCAGGATCGCGCCCTGGGCCAAAGGCAGGCACTAAACCGCTGCACCACCCAGGGATCCCATAAAATATTTTTAAGGATTTAAAATGAAGCCCTCCTACTGCTTATACTATCATTGTAATTTTCTTAGTTGCCATCATTACAAATAAAATCTGGGAAGAGTGCTTTAAAAACAGAAGAGAAGGAAACGAAAGACTAAAATTGCATATTTAAAATCAGTCTGGGACTGAACTTCATACTGTTTCTTAAATCCTTTTCGTATCAAAGTAGATATGTATAAGCAGTGCAGTGCATATTATTTTTTTTTTTAGTGCATATTATTTTTTAAAGAGTACTTATCACACGCAAGACTTTCAGTGTGTGCACATTTTACTGAGAGACCAAACTAGAATTAAACTTTTTTTTTTATTCTGAAAGCAGATACTACTTTTAACTTATGATATTCTCTATAACTCTTTCTTTTGTATTATTATTATTATTATTAAAGTTTAATTTATTTATTTATTCACGAGACACACAGAGAGGCAGAGACAGAGGCAGAGGGAGAAGCAGGCCTCCCACTGGGAGCCCCTTGCTCCCGAATCCCAGGATCATGCCCCAAGTGGAAGGCAAACGCCCAATCGCTGAGCCACCCAGGTGGCTATTATATTTATATTTTGTGTTATCATAATAGCTTGTTAATACATGTAACTAATATTTCTATACCCTTTTAATAACATTTAGATATTTATATTGGCGATACACTTGGTGAAGTTATGGTCCTCAAATTATAATTACATTTTCAAGGTGACAGTTGACAACATGGTTTTCAGCCATCAATAGATTTGTTCTTTCAGATATTCAACATCCAGTTTAAGAAGCTAATTATAATTACCTTAAAGTAGGAGAGTGTTCTAAGAAATACCTTTTAGCCTCTTCTAAATTTAATCCTGTCAAGAATAAGATCTATGTTCCTGGAATGAGCACTTTATAATTTATAGATCTTGGACTGGGAAGCCAGTTGTCTAAATTCTTAAGAATTACTTGGGAAGGGGGATCCCTGGGTGGCTCAGTGGTTGTGCGTCTGCCTTAGGCTCAGGGTGTGATCCCAGGGTCCTGGGGTGGAGTCCTGAATCGGGCTCCCTGCAGGGAGCCTGCTTTGCCCTCTGCCTGTGTCTCTGCCTCTCTCTCTGTGTCTCTCATGAAGAAATAAATAAAATCTTAAAAAAAAAAAAACAAACCTATTTGCACAGATGTGGGGTAAGCCTTAAAAAGCACACCTAATTAAATTAATTTAGTGAGTCTTCCAAAGCATAATGAAGATTATGTTATTACCTGTTCTAGATGGGCAAATCCTAGAAAGAATCAGGAATGCTTAAACTCTCTTGAGTTTGTGACACAGACAGCATTATACATCATTTCTAATTGAAGTATCTTATCAATGTTTAGTATAATTAAATTTAGAATGTTTAATTTCTTCCATGAGGCTAGAAATAGGAATTCTCTTATCAAAGTGTAATTCAAACAGGAAGAAATAATTACTCTAAGTTTACAAAAAGTTTGTCTTCTACATACTAATTTTTGTAGAGTAGTTAGTTGTTCCTACACATAATTTAAAATTAAGCTATTTAGGGATCCCTGGGTGGCGCAGTGGTTTGGCGCCTGCCTTTGGCCCAGGGCGCGATCCTGGAGACCCGGGATCGAATCCCACGTCGGGCTCCCGGTGCATGGAGCCTGCTTCTCCCTCTGCCTATGTCTCTGCCTCTCTCTCCCTCTGTGTGATTATCATAAATAAATAAAAATTTAAAAAAAAAAAAAAAAAAAAAAAAAAAAAAAAATAAAATTAAGCTATTTAATTAGACATACCAAAAACAATAAAAAATATTTGAAGTAAAGCTTAATTGGACTTGTATTATTTGCCATCCTTCCATAGCTAATGAAATAACTTAGACCAGTTATCACATTTTGTTTCTAACTTGTCAAGGGAAAGAAGTTTAAATTTTGCTAAACTTCTTACCTGGAAAAAAAAAAGGACTTCCGTTTTTTCTTACTGTGTGGTGCCTTTCCATACTCAGGAAGTCAAGATAAGTGAATCCATCTTTGAAAAGTGTTTTTCTACCAATGAAAAGAAACTTGCATTTTATTAATTTTCCTCATCACGGAGACTGTCATTGGTTTTTGGAAGTATTTATGTTTATGAAATAATGTGCTTTTAATGAATTGTAATAGTCAAGAACATGGTTTCTATCTGCCTGTGATAACTTTGTGATAGACTTCAGAAGGCTGCCACTCTTTTTGAGCATGAATAATCCAAAGCATTCACTGTTGTAGGATGGTGGAAATTGCAAGCCTCAGCAATATTGAGGAATCTTGAGCAAATTTGCTAAGGAGCCGGTGGTTTCTGAAGATGCCTGTTCACTGATTGAGTTATACTTAACGTTTGAGAGAGGTGTACATGTTACGCATATTAAGAATTTCTAAGTTAGTTTATTGATGATCTTCAGAATTCTCCAAGAAGTTTATTCCATTTTTTGTAAGTTTTGCTTCCTGTTAAAGTAGTATTACTGAGAAAATTATGTCACACTAACATGTTTTGACATTATCTGTAACCCGTTTGCTTTCTTAAAAGTTGATTTGTATACTAGAGCAGGGACCTGCAAACTACGGCATGTGGGACAAATCGTTGCACTGCCTGTTTTTGTAAATAAAGTTTTATTGGAACACAGCCACAACCATTGTTTACTTATCATCACCTAGGACTGCTTTTACACAACAGTGGCAGAGTTTGAGTAGTCTCAACAAAGACCGTATGGTCTGCAAAGCCTAAAATACTCAGTGTCTGGCCATTTACTTTTAAAGTTTGTTGACCCCTGTGCTAGAGAATAATCTAAGACTATTTTTTAAATGCTAGAAGAACTGCAGTCTGGTTTGCCAACTGCCAGTTAGTTATTACTGACAAGAGTTTGTTTTTAGTTTGACATTTAAATTTTTAAAAATTTCTACCAGAAAGATAAAATTGGATATGTTGGGTAAAGGAAGAGCTTAAAGTAATTTCAAATATCCAGATTTTTCTCTCTCAAATCTTCATTTTCAGACAATGTAGACATTTAAACATTTCATCTGTAGGCATTTGTCTTTGAATGTCAGAAAACTGCTGAAATTTGATGATAATTATCAACTCTCTTAAAAGAATTACCCAAACGAAAATATGCGACAGATGAGTGTGTTGTTGCTAATAAAACAGTCTTTTAGGAAAACATTTTCTCCTGACCCTTAAATGTCTTTAAGAACCATGTGCCAAGGGATCCCTGGGTGGCGCAGCGGTTTGGCGCCTGCCTTTGGCCCAGGGCGCGATCCTGGAGACCTGGGATCGAATCCCACGTCAGGCTCCCGGTGCATGGAGCCTGCTTGTCCCTCTGCCTGTATCTCTGACTCTCTCTCTCTCTCTCTCTCTCTCTGTGACTATCATAAATAAAAAAATTAAAAAAAAAAAAACCATGTGCCAAGAATTCATTATAGCTGTAGATGACACACCCCAAAGGCTGAGCTAGAGTTTCTGAAGCTGCCTCCTCCCTCATCATTTTTTCCTTTTTGGCATATATTCTTCCGAATGCCAGTTCACATTTCTCTGGTTTCTCATCATGGAGTAAATGACGTTTGTCAACCCTTGTACTGCTTCACCCACACTCCAGCCCTCAGACGCACAGGACAGCTGGAAGCATTCCCCTGCCCAGCAATTTTCATTCTATTGCCTAAAAACGAACTGTTTTGCAAGATCTCCAACCTCGTCATATAAGGAAGTCCCTTCCCCCCCAGCTGACATAACAACAGTGTAAACAGCTCACACCGTAGTTGCCAATAGTTCACGTACAGCATTTCCATCAGCCACGCAGACTGCAAAGGGCAGTGTGGAGAGGGAGGAGTTTAAGTGTTAACTAGTCTTCCTGAGTTGAGACTTGCTCCCTGGCTGCCTCAAGTATACTTTCTTCCAGAGACTGTTTGCCGACATGGAGAGGACTTAAGAGTGAATGACACTCCAGGAAAAACCAAATAGCAAAACAGCAGTAACAAGCGTCTGCTTTGGTTATTGTTTCATAACTGTATTAGTAGGTGTGCGATTTCATTGGATATTCTGTTTTGTTTTGTTTTTTTTTTTCAATTGTCTTTGTACCTATGATTGAAAACGGTAGTTGGTCTATGACTTTTGAGGAGGTAAGTTATTCATCTGTGTCTGTCTGTGATACCGGCGTCTGTCTGTCTGAAAAAAAATGCAGTATCCTCCTCCCAAAAGTTACTAACCCAGCTCTCGGGGCGCGCAGCTCCTGTGCCAGCGGGAGGGACTCTGGGGAAAGGTGTGGTCTGCTCTTCGTCCAGGGCTGTCGGCTGTGTGACATGAGGGGTGTTTGGCCCGGCGCAGTGGGCGCCTCGGGGGCGATGGAAGCAGCGTCTCCTGCGGTCCTTTCGGAGAGGGTCGGAGGCCGGCTGCCTGGTGTTGGCAGGCTCGGAGCAGCCGGGCACACCTGCGTGTGCAAACCGTGGCACGCGGCTGCCTCTGCACGCACAGGCTGGCGGGCTGACCTTTCAGAGTGAGGCTAAGCCCATCCAGATGGAACTTTCTTCTCTGTTCTAGTAGAAAGGTGAACTTTTTCTTGCATCAGTCAGTTCGGTGGGGGAAGTGCAGGGGTCAGTTTTGGCTCCTCCGGGAAAGGCTGCAAAAGCCAACCCGGTAAGAATCCTCACTCGAACCCTTAGCAAGTGGGGGCAGCTTCCCTCGCAGGACCCCCCACCCCGGGGTGGGCAGCGGCGCCCGGCTGCCGGCTCAGGGCCAGGGAGGACGGCTGAGCACGCCTCCCGCCCCAGGTTCGGACTTTGGAGGACGATACTGCATTTTCGGCCTCACAGCTTGCTTTCC